CTAATCTTGGATCTACGTCGCGTGAACCAACATCTTGTGATTCCCAAATTCAAGTACGAGGGTCTTCATCGTGTGGCGGAATTAGCTCAACGCGGTGACTGGATGTTCTCCGTGGATTTAAAGTCAGGGTACCACCACGTGAACATCCACCCAACATGCTGGAAGTTCCTCGGCTTCCAATTCGAAGGTCGCTTCTTCCACTTTCGATCCTTACCGTATGGTCTCGCGACGGCCCCGTTTGTCTTCACGCAATTGATCAAGCAATTGGTTACGCGATGGCGCGCCAGCGGCGTTAGGGTGGTCCCGTACGTCAACGACATTCTCTTCCTCTGCAAGAGTTACGACGCAGCACAAAGAACATGCTCGACGGTTGTCGAGGACCTGCGACATGCGGGGCTGGTCATTAATCAGAAAAAATCCTCACTGACTCCGACCCAACGCCTTCGGTTCCTGGGTTTGGAACTCGACACATCGACGTGCACCTTCTCCGTGGGAGCGGAACGACGTACACAGCTAACCATCACGTTGGACGCCCTTGAAGCTGCGGGCAATGCCCACCGACCAGTCCCCGTTCGCCAAGTGGCACGCGTGACTGGTATGCTAGCATCGATGTCCCTCGCTCTTGGGGCCACGGTGCGAGCATTCAGTCAAAACTTACTCCAAACGATTCAAGAGGCAACCTCATGGCACCAAAGGGTGGTACTCACACAAGAGGCAGTGCAGGAGTTGCGATTCTGGCGAACCGAGTTCGACCACTACAACGGAGCTCCGTTCCACATTCGGCACAGCTTCGGTGCGGTGTTGCACGTAGACGCAAGCGCTCACAGTTGGGGGGCGACACTGGCAAGCTTTCCAGGCCCCACAATTGAAGCATCGGCTAATATGCCCGCACTTCTGTTGAAATTAGGCATAAGGGCCTAGGCTTAGTAGCCTAGGCCCAAGGAGATAGTGCTAGCTTAGGCCAAGGAGAGAGTCGAGAGAATTGTGGTAAGGAAGTGTGTTTCACTATAGCAAACCAGGAAGATATAGGCAAGAGAACAAGTACAAGTGGTGCACCACCAACAGTTAATAATAACTACACTAAACAGCTAGAACTACATGCAGGTATAAGAATTCTGACAACTTCTACGCTCAACGTCGAGCACCCGGCGCGAACTTGAAGGTGTTCTTTGGGCTCTTAAGGCATTCGAAGCCCACCTACAGAGTACGCACTTACTAGTACGGGCGGACAACCAAGGGGTGTTCTTCATCTTACGCAAAGGCGGGTCCCGCTGCTCGGAGCTCACGCGCGTCTGCCAAGCGCCGATACATTTTTGTGTGCAACACGAAACCCGCCTTGCCATAGAATGGATCCCCAGATCGCTGAACGCCCATGCGGACGCACTCTCCAAATTGCAGGACCATGATGACTACACTCTGAAGCGACCATGGTTTCTTCTTCTCGATCGACGATTGGGTCCACACTCGCTCGATCTTTTTGCGAACGCCACCAACGCGCAACTCTCGCGCACGAAGGTGCCCCACCGGGCGCACGCGGTCAATGCCTTCTCCATCTCATGGGCCGGGGAACACGGGTTCGCGTTCCCACCTCCTCAGTTGATTCCGGCGGGCTACACCACGCACAACAAACGCATGCCACGATCACCCTAATCCTCCCGGAATGGCCCAGTGCCTTTTGGTGGCCCCGTGTTCACCCCACGTCGAGCGGATGGGCACCAGAAGTCCAAAACCACATCCGACTTACCAGCGGCAGCCAATGCCTTGGCGTAGGAACCCACAGAGCAGCATTCTCCGGCACTGGCCTCCCCAACAGCATAATGCATGCACTCCTGTTGTCATTTGACTGAAGATTGTGCATTCACTTGTTTTACTGGCACAGGCGCCATGGTCAGGCTTCATCACCGACTCCTGCTCATAACCTCCCAAGTCAGAGCGGATTCCACAATTCGCACGTACGACCCCTACTGGCTCAAGTTTCGTTCCTTTTGCGAACGGTTCAAGCTGTCGTTCTTACCAGCCACTGACACGACGATTGCACTCTACTTGGTGCATGCAATCGAGCAGAAGGCTACAATATCTACGGTACAGCTCACTTGTTCGGTAGTTACCTTTGCGCACCGCATGAATGGTGCTCGTTGTCCCGTCTCCGGCCCGTTCACCAGCCAAGTTCGCGAGTACGCCAAGGGGCACTGCCCACGCCCATCTCGGACCAAGGAGCCCGTGTCTCTCCACCAAGTACACAGCATGGCACAACCCTACCTCTCCGCTACGGAACCCGCAGAATTCCAAAAAGGACTCATCCCCCTGCTCATGTATGCAGCGTTCCTCAGATATTCGGATCTCGTGGCAATTCGCTGGGAAGATATTCAATTCGAGGAAGATGTTATGTGGCTCCTCATCCCACATTCCAAGACGGACCAGGAGGGTCGTGGAATGTGGGTCCCAGTGGCAGCCACCCCGGGCCCGTACTGCCCCGTACGCTGTACCCAACTCTTTATGCAGCTCGCACACTACGGACCTCTCACTCATGGACCGCTGATTCGCGTCTTCGGTCGTCGCACAGCAGCATCACCTTCCGACGCTGCTCCTTCATACACCACCGTTCGCAATTGGTGCAAGGAAGCATTCGCCAAGATCGGCCTTAGCGATAGCCATTTGGGAACCCATTCATTTCGCAAAGGCGCAGCTACCATGGCTGCAAGTGCAGGGGTCCCGGACCGTATCTATTAAAGGCTCGGTCGTTGGCGCAGCAGCACGGCCAGGGATCTCTACGTGACGATAGCGACCACAGACTTGGTCCGCCTCCCGTCAAAATCACCAGTCCGACGCTGCCCCGGCACCGCCGCAGCATGAGCAGGCCATCATCCGCCAACGGCGACCATTGATTCACATGCTTCAGAAGACCCACAAGCAATGAAGACGATGCTTATTGCTAGTCAAGAAGCAAGCTTTCTCAATATGTATATTTTTGAAAGTGTTACACTTTCTAAAATGACTTATTGTGAAAGCGCAGCAGCTTGTACGCAGCTCCAAAAGGCATCGTCGAAGCGCTACTCGCCCTTCTCCGACTACAAAAGAAGGGGTTTCGGCCATTTGGCCTCACCCACGTTTTCAGTTTTGAACTTTCAAGTTCAGTTTCCCCCCCACCCCCCACATGCTTAGAAACAATGTATTGATTGTATTCATGACGGGCAAGAATGCTGTACTTGACCACAAGCAATGAAGACGATGCTTATTGCTAGTCAAGAAGCAAGCTTTCTCAATCTCGTTTTTTTTTTTTTTTTTTTTTTTTTTTTTTTTTTTGAATATGTTCACTATACACGGGAGGTACATGCGTATACGAAAACATATGTCAGTCATAACTCAGCGTGAGAGGCCGAGAGCTAGTAACGGCCCCAGAGGCAGTGACTACGGCGGATGCAAAGCGCCGCGCGCGAGGTTCCACAGTGCCTCGAAATTACGGGTCCACTTCCAACCCTTCTCGCCCATGCATCGGATACGTCCAAGCAAGTCATTCTCCAATCCCGCCAGTGCCAGCATCCTCCCTTATCGCTTCGAACCACTCCCAATGCGCGGGTGTACACCTTCACATGCAGCCAAAAAGCTGCCTCAATGCGCCTGAGGACGCGCCGAGCCCGGAAGCGCTTCTCCCGGAAAACACAATCACACCTCTCTGCCCATATCTGGAAAACGCAATTGCTGCCAGCGAGGCTTCGGGGAAAGCTAAGGTGGATGCTGCCTTGCCGAACAGCAAATCGCCCAAGCTCTCCACTTTGTCTCGCTGGGTGAAGCAAACGCATGGCCCGTCTGACCGCCCCCACCACCAGCTGAATGCGCGGGCAGGTGAAGAGGCAGTGCTCCAGGGTCTCGAAGTCCCCACAGTGCGGGCAGACCGGCTTGCCATTTAGGAAAGAGAGCCGTTCCCCCACCTGCAGATTCAGGCTGTGAATCCTGAGCAGCACGTCCCGCGGCCTGTTTGGGGTCACCAATGAGTCTCGAATCTTGATGACTTCCTTCCAATTAATTTCACCTCCCCATCTGCCCACCCACAGCTCCCTCTTCGCGGACTGATGTTTCTTCTGCTGCCAGCTTCCTTTCAGCTCCTTCAACGACGTCAGCTGCCCACCACTAAGCACCAAGGTTCTCTGGAGGGGAGCCCTCCGAGCCGAACAATCCCCCACCTGTTGCTCGGCAGGCAGAAGGAGCAGCTTCCAGCTCTGCGGCACTGCGTCCCAAGCCCGCAACGCCAGCTTCGCTTGTTTGGTGCCGCCTAGTTCCTTCGCCATGAGCTTTACATCTTTGGGCCGCCGGCCCCCCGTGCCGTCCGGGCATAGCAAATCGCCAAGCCGGACCTCCCAGAGCTTCTCCGCAGCCTTCTGCCCTCCCACCGGAGTCTTTGCGTTAAGCGGAATATGGCGGTTGAACACAACCCTCTCCATCTCTGCCTCCTCCCGTGACAGCACCGGTGATGTGTCAGCCAGCGGCGATTGCATGAAGTCACCGCAGGCCAACTTCCATCGCTCACTCTTCCCACTCCAGCACTTCAGGAGCTTGACATGGGAGACGAAAGTGTCCAGCCCCAGCGGCAAGTCAGCAGCCTTGAGCATGATGTCACGCTTCAGCTCGCTTGTCTCGGTGAGGAGTAGGCCAATACGCCTCGCCGTGAGACAGGTGAGGGCTATCTCCGGATCGTTCACCCCCACACCCCCATCCTCTCTAGCTATGTAGAGCAGTTCCTTGCTCCACAGAATGAAAACTTTGTTTGTGGTGGCCCGATTCCCTGACATGAAGTTGTGGGTCAGCTTCAGAACTCTCCCCCAGATGTCAACCGGAGGTGGATACACCTGCGCCTGGAAGAAGATGATGGGCGAGATGTAACAGTTCATAACCGCTGCTCTCGCCCCGGTTGTCAGGTGTTGCACCTCCCACTTCCTCAGTTTCTCCTTAATCCTTGCGAAAGCCTTCTCCCAGGTGGGCACGCAGCAGCCGGCCGGCGTCACCTAGATCCCCAACAGACGCTCCGCCTCATCGGCCTTCACCCATTTGAAGCCATCCGTCTTGCTGGCCTGCTTATTCAGATTGCAGCCCAAAGGTAAGACGGCCGACTTCGATTTGTTGGTCGCCAACCCCGATTCCTTTTCAAAGTCGTCAAGCAGCTTCTCAGCCTCTGCTATCTGGTCTTCCCCTTGCAGGAGCAACGTCGTGTCGTCAGCGTACCCCAGGTAAGCCAGCCGCTGAGCACCCCTTGTGAGACCCAGACTGCGGTTCACGGCTTCCTGTGCCAACGGCTCAACGGCACACAGAAAAAGGTACGGCGCGAGAGGGCATCCTTGCCGCACCCCCGATACCACCTCAACCACTTCCCCCATCCAGCCGTTGACTAACAGCCGTGTCTGTGTTTCCTCGTGCAGGCCCTTGATCCAGCCGACGAACCTGCTGGGAAAGCCCATCTTTTCCAGCACCAGAAACAGATAATTTCTCGAGACTGAATCGAAGGCCTTCTGGAAATCCACCAGCAGGAGGTACCAGTTCGCCTGCTCGTTCTTCGCAGCGTCGATCACATCCGCGACCAACCCCACCGCATCCGAGAGCCTCCGGCCCGGCAGGAACCCGTACTGCTTTGGCGAGATCACCTCGTTCAAGACCCTTTTCATTCTGTCTGCGACTACCCGCGCCAACACCTTGTAAGTGAAGCTCAGAAGCGTGATTGGGCGGTAGTTCTCAACCGCATCTCTTCCGCCCTTTTTGTGTAACAGAATAGTGACAGCACTCTTTGTACTTGCAGGGAGCTCCGCCGTCTCGGTGAAACTCTCCACCAGCGCCATGAAGTGCTTACCCAGCACATCCCAGTGCTCTTCAAACAGCTCCTTCGGCAACCCATCATTTCCTGGAGCCTTATTCTTCGCCATCGCATGAAAAGCGCTTTTCACCTCCTTCTCCGACCATGCCGCCGTCAGCCTTTCCCTAGCTATCGGCGACAGCGTTCTGCCGGCGGCAGGAACCCAGCCCGACTCAATCTGCTGCCTGTCGTGCCCGAAGAGGTTTCTGTAGAACTGCGATGCAACCCCCAGAATCGCTTTATTGTCAGTGACCGTCACACCTCCAGCACTCAGCTCCTTGATCTGCGTTTTCTCCCGCCTTGCTTTAAACTTCCCTGACAGGAACGGGGACGCGACCTCCCCAGCCACCGCCTCGTTCATGCCAGCCATCACATGCAGCCTCTCCTGCCTCGCCAGTTGGTAACCGCGAAGCTGCGGCTCCTTCTCAACCAGCAAAGCCTTCAGCCGGTCGTCCCCCGGATCACCCATCCACGCTTGTTTCAGCGCCGCAACCGCATCCTGGAGGTGGGTCATTGTGGCTTTAACCCACTTTCGTTCCTCCTTTACGTAAGATTTAAGGCCGGCGTTAAGCCGCGAGATCAGCAGCTCAAAGTTCTCTCCGTTTGACGCCACCTGCCTTTCCACTGCTTCAATAATCTTTCTGACTCCCGGCCGACCAATCATGTATGCAGGCAGCCTCCAAAGCCCGGGGCCCAGCTTCACTCGAGTATCCATCCTGAAAGCAACCTTCACCGCGAAACTGTGGTCTGAGATCGGGTCCGCCGGCATGATGTGCGCGGCAAACTCCACGTGTGACAGCAGCGACTGCGAAATAAGCGCCCTGTCAATCCGCGAGCTGGACTGGTTGCGCACGAGTAAAAGGTGAACTCCCGCTTGTAAGGATGCAGCACCCTGAAAGCATCTAAAACATTGAAAGCACTGCACCGCTGATATAGCTCCTCGTTCTCTTTTGCTGACCCTTTCTTCGACGTTCTGTCCAGCAGCGGGTCCTCTACCAGGTTGAAATCCCCCAGGATAAGCAGGTGCGACCCCGGCTGCACCGAATCAACCACTGGGCCCAGCGTCCTGCGGACAAAGGCCTTTCTTTCGACTGCATCCGCCGGGAGATAGACGGCCAGCAGGGTGATACTGAAGGAGTCAAGGCGAACTTCCGCCGCGACAAGTCTGCCTGACGGGTGAACAAGCGTGTTATGGAGGGAGAGGCCAGGCCTGCGGCAGATAAGAGCCACACCCCCGGCTTTGGAGGTAGGAGAGGCAACTAAGATGTTGGGTTGGTTAAGGGACTTCCAGAAGGTGTGATCATCCGAGAGCCTAATGTCAGCTAGCACAATGACATCTGCAGCTTGTCTGATCCATGATTTCGTGCGTTGTTGCTTGTTCCCGTCCCCCAGGCCGTTGACATTCAGGCCTGCAAATGATAACAGACTCTTCGTACTCATTTAATCACTGATGACAAGCCCCATCGCATCCACGAGCGGGTACAACCGGCTACGACTACACAAACAGGCATCAGCTCCACAGCAACTCTATACTGCATCAGGTACGCGGGTGATGATCTCAGATCTGGTATTCCTTGCGGATGATATGCAGACCCAGCTTCTCTAGAGAACAGCGGGTGGCAGCACCCAGCCTCTCCAGGCCCAGTAGGTGGCTCGCCGCCGTGATATGATCTGCTGCAGCCATAAAGGACTTGCCGTGGGTCTTCCCGCAGCTTTCGAGGGTGCACAGCCATTCCTCGCGGTTGCTCCCAGTAGAGATCAGCACAAAAGCCGCATCCATCAGTAGCGGGGTGATAAGCGGGGAGGCGCGGAGAGAGGCAGCTGCGAGAGGTAAGCGACGCGTCAGTAATCGTTAAGGCAGGTAAAGCAAAACGACAACCCGAAAAAGGTGGGATGCAGTTACCATTGATCCTATAAACCCGCCCACAGTTAAACTCCACTTCCTTATGTTATTCTGACGCTCCGTGATGAAAGCATTATGAAACTTGTCATAATTATGTCCACCACAGAGCGCGCAGGATAGCAACGGGTAGTGGGCCAACAGGGTCGTTCCTCCCAGCGACTGATGACGGAACTCATGGCGCCAGCGGTGCTTGTCGCCGGCGTACTGGATCACCAATCCCTTGACCTTATCCGTATCAGCTCCAGTAACCGGGTGCAGCACACGGTGAAAGCAGTGGCCTTCGGCGAAAGCAGACTGCTTCCGGATCTTGAGCGTGTGAGTCACCATGATCTCCTTGACCAATTCCGGCGGGATGTCAGCAGAGACGTTCTTGAAGAAAACTTCCAGAAGCTGCGGGCCCAAAGCCTTCTTGCGAAGGTAAGCCGTATCTTCCTGACGCAGCCAGAAGCAGTGAATCGTCGTTCCGTTTTGGCGCTTGTGTTCCACCGCGGTCTGCTTGATGTTCACCGCGTCAGATTCATGCAGGAAGGAGACCTGAAGCCGACTGTAGCGGGTCTTTGCGACAAAGGCAGGAAGCAGCTCCTGAAACTTCACCGAAGCGAGAACATCGTCAGTGAGCAGGTTAGACCAGACACGCTTCATCAGCGTTTTCACCGTCAGGATGACCGAAGCAACTTCGCGGGAAGGAATAACCGGGAAGAGCAGGATCGCCGTGAAGCGCAAATGCGGGTAAGAGCTCTTCGTCGCGTCAATGTCGAGCTCCTCGTCCGAGTCATCCTCAATGAAAGAGTCATCTGGGGCCACCGAAGCCAGCGCCTTCAACTTCTCCTCAAGGGTGAGTCCAGAGCTGCCAGCCGTCACTTCCGCTTCCAACGGAAGATTATCAATAACCTCCTTTCCCTTGCCTGGCGATGACTTTTCTGCAGAATCACTCCCTCCAGCAGGAGCATCAACCACCGGCTTAGCGCGAGAGTTCTTCGGAGGCATCGTGCGATGATGACTATGACCAGGCAGAAGCTCTTGAAGCAGAAGCTGAGAGTGTTGATTAAACTGATGAGCCGGTCGTCTGAGCACATCATCGTTAAATAGTTGAGATTCTCCTGATGTCGACCATTGCTCTTGACATAGGTGTTGCATTGTTGAGGATAGCACTTCGGGATCATCCCGTTGCGTAGTAATTGTGTAGCCAATGGTAGATAACTTAGGTTGTTCCTTGACAACCTAAGTGTTGGACTTCGTTTCGCTTGCATCCAACAGTTGTTCGCAGAATTCAGTTCGCACGACATATTGTATGTGTGTCACGAAGAATGTCGACTTGATTTTGCGAACTTCTGCAATTTTATGGGATTCTAAAAAACAATAGCCACGTCGATGTTCAAGCACCCCGAATCGCGAATTGGAGGGCTTTCTTCCATACCAGAAATAGTATCGACTTGTAAACCGCAGCACCTTGACTTCTATTATTGAAAACCTTTCCCACTCCCTTTTCTCGTCGCTTGGAATAAAAGCCGCATCTGCCACGCTCCCCAGCAATGTCCACAATCACATCCGACCCTCACTACAAATAATTGACTAGTTCTTTGCTCGACCACCAAACCTTCATTACAAAATAGCCAACTACAGTAGCCCATGGTATGTCTTCGTACTTCGGCAACATGCAGCGCGTGGCATTTCTTTTCTTCATCTTCCTCGGTAAGCACTACATTGGCGACATTGATCCACTTCGCTTTGCGCGTCGCCTCTTCAACCAGACAACCACGCTTTTCTTTCTGGCGGTTTCACGTCTGTTACAAACGTCAAACGTTGTCAGCCGCCCCTCATGATGCTCACTCGTGCCCACTGCCTGTCCGCCATGTGCGGCGCTCTTCACCGTCTCCGCCGCTACATCGCTCCTCCCGCCATTCCTACGCGGCAAGAAGCAAGGGAAGGTCATTGAAGGTAAGTGTACAGCGCGATTTGCTACTGCACGGTGCCCCTAGATGATTCAGAACTCCTCAACTGTGAGAGTACGACGGCTTTGCTATGATTTACTAGCTTGATTATGCTTTATTATGCATTATCTAGCTTAGCTTTATTTTGTTTTGCTTGCTTTTGCTAGATTTCCTAGGTTCGTTGCTTTACTATATTTATTATAGTTATAGGCACCGAACTAGGTTGAGTGCACCGAATTCTAGGCTTTTCGGTTGCCACCGAATTGCCTTCTACCGAATTCGGGAAGGACCCGTTCGGGACGCTTCGCGACCCGCGGAACCTTCTAGTAACACCAGGGTTACTGCCTTTGTGTCGAGCCTATATATAGCCTCGACTTGCACCCAGGTGCATTATTCAATAGTTCAATCTTTCCTGAACCAGATCCTCACACTTGGTAATCAGAGCAGGTTTACACTCGAGTTCTTCTTCCGCTTAGTTCCGGCCTTTAAAAACCGCGGGGGCGACGACGAACGCGCCGATACGGGTATGTAAAACCAGTTCCGCGCGAATTTTTCTAAGTCCCCCTCGATTCGGTTTTGAACACCCCTCAGGAATATTGGTGAAAAAGTTGGAATTTCGACCGTCAGATCGAGTTTCTCCTCAACGGCCGAGATCAGACGCGAATTTCGCTTGAGGGAGATTACCGCGACGTACAGAATTCGAGCTCGTCGATTCTACAGTCGATTCGACTCGCAGTAAGTCGACTAGCACCCGAAATTCAATTATTTTCGTCGCGCATCTTTCTGTAAATCGCCAATAGGGAGGGAAATAGAGATTTCTTTATACGAAAAATCGCGGAGTTACGTGCTGAGCATAAGCAGATATTTGCGGCGCTCCCACGACTCGAAAAACTCCTTGCGAACCAATCGGTAGCCGCAGCAGCAGCAGAAGCGACGACGGCGACACCGATAATTGTACCTGCGACAACGGCAGCAGCTACATTTAATCTCGAAGCAGTAAAGCCGAGGCGACCAGATGCATTCGAACCTAGAGTGAAAGGGAGCGACGACTGCCGATTTGTAGCTGTATTATAAAATTTCTTCGAAGCCGTTGGATGCACGACCCTCAACCAAGACGCATTGCGCATACGGCTCGCAGCAACACTGTTACGAGGCCCAGCTCTAGAGTGGTTTAGTAACCGAATAGTCCAAGGCGAAGAGACGTGGGCGCAGTTTCGGGCAGCACTGATCGGACAGTTCGACGCGTTGAACAGTAGCTACTACGGAACACGACGCAACAAGCCAACTAGTGGCATGGAGCGATTGGCATCACCCACGACTGCCGACCCGATGGAGAACGACAAGGACGATGCGACGCAGCGGCTAGCAAAAAATGCGACGTGCGAATTTTGCGGCGCTATAGGACATCGTATCTTGGCGTGTTGGAAAATGAAGAAAAGTCGTGCGGAGCTGAAGGGCAAGAACAGTGCGGCACCCCCGAAGCAGAAAACGGACAACGTGGCAACTTCGGAGAGGGCGAAAAAAGGAGAATATGGTGGCGCGAATTTAAAACGTCACGACCAGCCGGCACCAGGGGAAATCGCCGAGACAAATGGAGACTCCGCGAAACAAGACTCTGCACCGACTGGGAAACTCCAGCCGTACACCCCGACAAGTAAGAATATTACTTCTCGTGGTTTT